TGTTTAGGACCTCTAACATCAATTTCATCCAAAATAAACACGTAAAACTTGACGAAACACACTAAGGCACACAAATACGTTTCAAGGCAAACATTTCAAACGTCATGGACATTCTTGGACGTCTGACCTCCAAACTACACGAAACTTTAAAAACTGCCTCATAACATCATTATAACCCATTTGAGGACTTTAAATAATGTAGATACAAGTTCTAGGCTCTAGTTTCACTGAAATTGTTTTAGAGATGTTACATCCTCCAATGGACGTCCACTCCTAGTGCCCACAACATTTACTTCTTTCGAATTTGGGTCGGTATTTCCCGATAAAGCCCTTGTGATCAGGTGTTTTGGGTGCTATCAAATTTCCCAAACTGTTTCTCTAAATTTTGTGTTGCCAATTGATTGTTTCGAACATCTACCCCCAATTTAGCTTGATCCTCTATTATTTGTTTGAGCATGTCTTCCACACTCATATACCCTTGCTTGGCGGCCTGCTGATTACCATGATTTTGTTGATTTACAAGGATTTGATGATGGTATTGTTGTCCACTTCTTTGTGATCTTTATTGGTTCTGGCCTTTATCTTATTTCTGATTACCACCCCAAGTAAATTTGGGTGATTTCGCCTGCTTGAGTTGTAGGTGTCTCCATAACTCTGGTGATTTCCTCCTCATTGAGCATTACCTACAAAATGAACAGATTCTGGGTTTGCTCCACATACTCGGCTCTGTTATCTCCACCTCCACATACTTAAAACCATGTTTGTGATTGATGAACCATATTACCTTGGGCTTGTTTTATCCTAGAGACATATTGCTAAAGTGAATGGTCATCATGTTCTGTATTAATGCAATCTAAGCAGACAAAATTGCGACTGTGTCCATCTCTAAAACTCTTGCAGTCTTCTATATGACTGGTTTCACTCCGCCTTTATTTTACTTGGGGTTACTATACGATTAAGCAATGTAAACAACTTAGCATGTGTCTTATCCAAAGCTTGTCCACCAGCAGCAAAATCAAGTAAAATTTTGGTGTTGGGTTCGAACCCCTCAATGAAGGTGTGGACCAACAATTCGTTAGCTTGATGATGATGTGGGAAAATTAACAATAGGGACTTAAACCAATCCCAAGCTTGCTACAAGTTTTCCTCTTCTTTCAGTCGTAAGCTTAATATGTCGCTTCTCAGTTTTGTTGTTTTACTGGATGGAAAAAACCTTATCAAAAATCTCCGGGCAAGATCATCCAAAGTTGTTATGAAATTTGCAGGCTTAGAGATTAACCATCTTTTAGCTTCCCCAAGTATAGAAAAGGGATATAATGTGAGTCGCACCTAATTAGAGTTCACTACCGCCAGACGGTATATGTCATTGATCTCGGGGAAGTTCTGTATATGCACTCGTGGATTCTCATGAGATAGACCAGTGAACTGCCCATTTTTGTGCAATAATTGCACTATGTTCTTCTTCAATTTCAACCTCCCACCTGGTGCGGGCTTCTGATTATTTGAGGTCACATTGGTGGTATGTGGGATTGATACATCCCTCACATTCATTTCTTCCATCATCAATGGTGGCTCTTAGTCTTCTATCTCTTATGAATTTTTAGATTCCATGACCACACGTGGACCGGGAGGGTTTCACCTTCTTCTCTTTTTCCGGTAATGAACAAATATCTTTTATTCATATAGAGGCTCAACCAATACCTGGTCGTTATCCTGTGAGAAAACCTAACACAATTTGCACAAATGAAGAGCACATATGAAGTTGTAAACACTTGTAGAAATAATTTAGACACTCAGAAATTAGATATCTGCCGATTTAGATGTCCCCAGCAGCAACACCAAAAACTTCTTGCGTCCAAAAGCACACGCAAGTGCACGAGGTCACTCAAGTAGTAAAGAGAATTTTTTTATTCTAACGTTTGTACCCAAGGGACTTCAAATGAACGAATAACAATGTGCAATGACTTCCTAAATTCATTCAAGCATCAGTTAGATTGAGAAATTTGTTTAAACTACTAATTTAACTCTAACAAGAATTAGTTACTTTAAGTAAACGATTTCAACAAAGAAAATTCACAATTTGGAAAGATATCCCATGGTTGTAGCATGAATTAATTTCCCGTTCAATATGGTTTTATCCTAAGGCTCAAGGGATTAACTCACTAAGGGTTGACAAGGTTAATTTTAGGATCATGATCTACCGACCTCTAATCGTATACCATCATTGACAACCTAACTACATCATTGAGCGGGGTTAGGTATGAACCAATAAACAAGATCTTACAATTCTTCTTGTGTATCAACCAAATGTGGTGTATACATATAATATTATTCTACACACAAAAAAACAATCTAGAACTCACCCTAGAAAGAATACAAGTCTTGCATTCTTCGGTCTATCCCTCTAATCGTCTTCGAGTTCAATAGTAGACATAAAATTTATTCTAATGTTGATTAAGCATTAAAATAGTAAAATAAGAATGCAAGCACAATGCATCAAATAACCCTTCTCACACGAGAAACAAAGTCACATTAAACCATTAATCATAGCTACAAACCTAGAATAGAGGATTTTAGCTACTCATAACACAAAATAGCAATACGGTTTAGAATCATGTAAGTCTTTACCAAGTGAAGAAGGAGAAGAAAAACCCTAAAAAATGCACAAAAATCATCTTTTGTCCTAGACCTAGTCTTTTTGGAAAGTTAGATGTACAATAAATGGACACTTAAACTATTTATAGTCTAGAACAAAAATGTGGACCGATTATTGTATCCTGGTCCATGACGCTAACCTGTTCCCTTGAACAACTCTGCTCATGGGTAAAATGAACCCTGCGACGCGCCTCAATCGTGAACTCTCACGTTATGGGAATTCCTTCTCTGCATGGACGAAATTCCTCCGCGACATGGGACGCGGAGGTGCTCCTTCACAGAGCTATTTCTAGTTTCTTGCCTTTCTTTTCCGCCACTTCTTCTTCTACTTTTCGACCTATGTTCCGGTGTCCAAATTTAGCTCGTTTTTCAATGATCTTCGGCCTGAAACATCTAATCATATTTGTTAAAGATGGGCAGAATCAAAACGACTCGAACTACGTGACTTCTCCACCAAAAATGTCCTCAACTCGGCTATATATATGGAATAAAATGATTATTCGGCAAATAAATACCCCTAAGATCATCAAAACGGGTAATTCTTTAGGAAACAGAAGGAGTACTTAATATAACTTGCTTATAATGATTTTAACTGATGATAAAAGAATACTAATAAATAAATATATGTTTCTCAATAAATTATGTAATGACATATATGTTACGTGATGTTTTGGAATTATATAGAAAAAGAGAAATCAAGTAAATTAGATATTTAAAAAATTATCTTTAAAATCCTAATAGAAAAGCAACACCATGAAATTGAAAAGTCTAATGAGAATTAAAGGAAATGACATAACATGCTCTGAAATTATTAAAAATTTTATTCTTGAAGAGCTTGCTCACTGGTTGCAATCCTTATGAATCAGGCCTTTTAAAAATTGGGATTGAGATTGATATTGGATTTAACATGTTAAATGGTCCATTATCATGTTTTTTATAGAAGTGATGTGTTCACTAAGAAAAAACATATTTTACTTTTGTCTTACAATTGTTTTATAAAGGTAAGCCCATTATGTGAGGAATTGATCAAAAATGAATTTCTTAGTATGGAAAAAATGCATTATTAGTCTTCCTAATAATAGATGTATAGCAAAGTGTGCAATATTTAGGATGCAAATTAGAAATAAACGGTGAGAAATTTATTGGTATAAGACATGAGAGGGGATAGAGTTGAGGAGTGAATGAAATTGACAAATGACTTATTGTCTATTATTTGTGTTATATTTAGTTCTAGGAAAATCTTTTAATTTATAGTTTCTAGAATAATCATGTAACTTACGTAGGAAATTTAGCCGCTTGAAAAACATATTTATACAAATATAAAAATAGAATTTATAGATTTTAGAATGAAATGTAAATGAAATGACAATATTATCCTTAATCATTCTCACTTCATGTTTTGATGTAATAGAAAAATACCAAATAAGAATTAAACTAAAGTAATAGTAAAATAGAGTAATGAATGGATATCACAATAACTCATAAAAAAGTGAAGTAATAACCAAATTAGTTAAAATTAATAACAATAACTAAATATGTTTCTAGAATTATTTAGTTTTCATGTTATCATTCTTGGTAGATTGTTGTCTGCATGAAGTTATATTTTTACCTTTGATCATCGTTTACTTTATATATAGAACAATGTTTCTAGAATTATTTAGTTTTCTTTCTATATCTCTTAATAGATTTTTGTTAGAAAGAAATTGCATTTTTATTCTTGATTGTCTTAAATGCAAATATATCATCCTATTTATTTTATTTGTAAAGTTACTTTTTAACATTTTTTTCTTTAATTTCAATCTAACATATATTTTTTATTGTATCACACTTATTATTATCAAGTAGATAAATTAGATCCAAAATAAATATGAAAATAAATAATTCATAATAAATTTTCATATTAAAAGTAGACATTTTTGGTACATAATGAAAAGAAAAAAATATTAAAAATTAAATTAAAGTAATAGTAAAATAGAGTAATGAATAAATATCGCAATAATCACAAAAGAAAAGAAACTGAAGTAATAATAAAATAATTTAATGATAATAACAATAACTAAATATGTTTCTAGAACCATTTAATTCTCTTGTTATCATTCTTGGTAGATTTTAATTAGCGTTAAATTACATTCTTACACTTGATCATTATTCACTTCATATATAAAAAGATGTTTGTAGAATTACTTACTATCTTTTTTAACAGTTTTTAATTAGAATGAAATTCCATTTTTACCCTTGGTCGTCCTACCTCTTCACTCTTCTATATAATAGAAATAGAAATAGCAATATTAGTAAAGGAAAGAAAAGAAAGTAAAAGAAAAATATATATAGAAATATTAGCTTGTTATAAAATTAGAGATTTGTGGTACTAAGTTGTAATTAAATTAGAGGAAGCTAAGAAACAAGAAGAATTTGTAGAAAATTTGTGATTGAGTTGAAGGTGTAAGAGTTAATATCGTAGAATTCATTCGGAAACAATGAGTCATGAATTGAGTGAAGCATGAATTTCCTCGAGGCTTCTTCCTTTTGTTTCCGGGACAATTTGGTAGATGAAGATGATAGCAAGTAAGCAAACAAATGCATATAGGAAAAATGTTCCTACAAAAAAACAAATGACATATCATTTATCTATTAGAATATTAGGTTAGGTAATTAATTAATTTAATGCTGAATGAGATTACCATGTCCACTCCACAACAGGAGAAAGTTGAAAGTGTAAGAAATAACCCAAGAACCAAACCAATTAACGAGTGTAACTAAACCTCCACCTAATCCCTTTATATGTAAAGGAAACACCTGCAAAAATTTTAATTCAGAGTTTGAGAGTAGCTAAGGTAATATAT